TCACAGCTACTCTGCCTGGAACGCTCTTTCCCACGTGGTTTTCAGCTTCATTCTCTCAGTCTCAAGATATTCCTCAAAAGTCACCTTCATGGGCAGGCCTTCCTTGGACATCCCGCCAAAAACGTCAACACTTCCCTCTGCCTGCCTCTTCCTGCTCTCCCTTCCCTCCTTATTTCTTCTTCGTGCTCGTGATTACCTACCTCAGCACGCACTCACCTGTATACCTTGTTACCCTTCTCCCCCACCTGGAGGCATGCTTTGAGGAGGGAAGGGGCAGGGGTTCTTGTCTGGTTCTGTTCTCTGCTGGGTCCCAGCCCAGAGCTGTGCCTGGCATATTGTAAGAATAAACCTTAGTTAAGAAAATCAACCTGCATGAAGCCGAATGCTAGAACCACAGGAGGCGAGACTGCAGAGGAAGCAAGGAAAGATGGGACTGGAGATGGCAGGACGACGAGACAGCCCCCCTGAGGGCAAGGTGTGTTAAGAGGAGCAGCCTGTGGAGGAGCAGGCGCAGACTGAGGAGAGAACTGGAGGCATAAGGGAGCAGGTGATGGCATTTCGAGAAGAAAATGACCAGTGGGCTCCAAACTATTGAGCAGAGGTGATTTCTAGGGAGAGAAGAATTCATGGCTGATTAAAGACTGAGAAAAAGAGTATTTTCCTAATTTACCCTCAGCAGGAGAGTAAATTGAACTGTCATCCTAGAGGACAACTTGTCAGTGTCTGTTAAAATGTGATCATATACTGTAGAATCCAGCTGTTCCATTTCTCAGTATCTTCCTTATAAAAGAAAAAACAAACCTCACGCACGCACAAGGATGCACGCTGTGAATGTTTTCTACAACATTCTCAGTGATAGCGAAAAATTGGAAACAACCAGAAAAAGGAATGACTAAATAAATTGTAGTGCATACATCATGTAAAATGCTACACAGCACTGAAGAAGAACGCAGCCGCTCCATGTGTGACAGGACTGGGGCACACGATGCAGTGCGAAGGGAACAAAGCGTGGTCTTGAATGCCGTGGTCTTACTGCCACTGAAAAAGACAGAGGGAGAGAAGAATTAGGGGTGATTTTTAAAATTTTGTCCTTTTCTATAATTTTAAAGTTTTTTTTAAAAAAAAAACTATGAATCTGCATTACATTGATAACTTGATTTTTTAAATTTAGAGTTCAAAAAACATATTTGTTTTTACCATCAAAAGTACTTTAAAGAACCAAGAAAGGAGGTGGGTCCAAGAGGGGTGGGGAGCTCTGGGAAGCTATTGAATTGCGATGGTTTCCTGACCTCTGGGAGGGCAGGCTGTGGACCTGGTGAGCTGAAGGCTTCCCTGCAGGAGGTGGGCGGGTAGAAACACAGCAAAAAGGAAGGCAGCAGGCGCAGGCGGCACTTCCCACAGTAGGGGAGGGGAAGAGTATTTGGAGAAGAGCAAGAGAAGCATTTTTATGGCTGAAGGAGACTTGAGGGTTGCAAGGTATCAGTAGGTGGTTGATTTGTAAAGTCAGTTCTGTATATCGATGAATGATAAGTCATGTAATACCTGCAGCCAACAAGGGCAAGGGTGTTCACCGCAGCGAAGCAGGGAGCATCTGCACCCCCCACAACTGTAGACCCAGCAGGCAGAGAGTGGTACCTTTGCAGGCCCTCCTCTGTAAAATCTGCATCTGAATTCTGTGTTTCTTTTAAAATTACAGCTCTTTATCATTTCCCGAAGCCCTGCTGGCTTTAGAAATAGGCCTGATCTTTTCTGAACTTACTATGCCTTTAGCAATCTGAAAATTTTTGTTCTCTCTTTATTATCCATGAATTATAATAACTCAGCAAAATGTTTCCACTATGACCTCAATGCTGGTGAAGCTAAACTAATGCTTAACAAAAAGTTCTAAGTAATTTCCCTGGCCACGCTTGCCCCTTGCATGCTGTACTTAAGTTTGCCAAATGACCCACTCAAAGGGCTTGGAAGGAATTGAAACCAATCCAGAAAATAGAATCCACCCTACATAGCTGAGACACCCTGTGTGCCATTCTCCTGTGCTAGCTATGCATCGGCGGCCCTCGCTCGTGGGCGTGAGTATGCCTCTGTGCTGAGTAGAGGAGGGAGAGCGGTCTGTTTACCTTTACTTCCTGACCAGTGGCATTTAAATCATTCGCAGATGGTGCACAATTCCACCAGCACCGGCAAGAAGGGAGCCTTTTCCATGTCCCTTTCGTTTATTTAGATCCCCCTTGAAGAATGAGGTGCCACTTCAAAGAGGCAAGCGGGCTGCAGGTGGCCTTATAGCTTCTGGTTGATTTATGCTGGAGTTTACCCACTGCCTTTGCACAGGCTTTGTTTCAGGGAGTATATTTATCTGACCTTTCTTTGACTAGACAACCCCACAGCAGCTCATGGGAGGAAATGGGTGCTCCATTTAGAGAGGTGGCATTTGGATGAGCTGCAGGAATTCCGGGGTGTCTAGTGTTTGATCCCTTAAGCCTGCACTGGCCACCTTAGAGCCAGCTCAACACCTCCCAGAGTGATGGGAAGGGAGTGTCCTGGGGCTGAATATTCAATGTAGACTCTGAGGCAGCTTGTCACTTTAGCAAGAATCAGACTTAGGTCACTCTGTGGGTCAAAAAGTGTCGTGGGCAGTGCCCAGGGCCATTCTATGTTTGCTTCTTCAGTGAGCCTGTATTAAAACCAGGCACTTGGAGAGAATTCTGGTCAGTGAGGAAGACACGTGCCCTTTAAGACCATGAGAGCCTGTACTTTGCGCCGCTGTAGAGGGCAGAGTGAGGAGTGGTGTGTCTCTTAAGAAGGCTTCTTCCTGTTGGACTTAGTTTGCCCGAAGATGAGGTGGACCCTCACTATTCAGCACCCCTCAACTCTATAGGGTGAGTGATTCGGTGGATCAAATACTGTTTCTGAGCTACACCATGCCATGTAAGTGCCACTGTCCTCTTAAAATGAACTCCAAGCTCAGATGTCACATGAGGCTCAGTCAGCAGGCCCTGTAGGAGGGCCAGGGGCAGGTTACAGCGTGCTTGCCTCCTGGGGCCTCCTCCCATAGGGCTGCTCCTCGCTCACAGTCCATGCACCCTCACTTCTCCAGGCCTTAGAGAGTTGGCACTGGATTTTAACTGCAGAGTGGCAGCACCTTGCCTCACAGGTGGGGGTGGAGGGCTGGTGTAAGGTGGGAATGGAGAAGCTGTTTTGCTCCTGATTTCTTCCTGTCAAATTGAAGTCCATCCTCCAGGAGTGTCGTCAGACAAATGCAGCTTCCCCGTCCTGAGGGGTTGCTGCTGAGGGAGCGTGGGATCCCAGAAATCTCTGCACATGGACTGCCTTTATGTCTCCCTAGATGATCAGCTGCCTTTCCACACGAGCTGGACCACTTCATTTAAACAAGTCATGGGTCCAAGCTGAGTGTCTTCTTCAAAGACGTTTAAGAACAAAACACTTAAACAGGATACAATAAATATGCCAACGAAAAAGATGCAACCATTTTTTAGAGACGCATTAGCTGACGCGGGTCAATTAGGGCCACCTCTGGGTACCCAGGGAGTGCTGTCTTGTTAATGGAGATCCTTGCTGAGTCTTTTTCTGAAGTTCCTTTCCAGAAGTGAAATTAAAATTGCAGAATTAAAATGTTCACAGTTGGGGCTGGATGTTCTTGAACTGATTGAAGGATGAAGAAGTGGACACACCAACATTTTGAAACAGCAATTGTCTCTGTAATTAAGTGCAATTAACTGACATAACTGTTTGCTTTACTCCGTGTAAAACTGATTGAAATGGCAAGACTTTAAAGAGTATGCCCCCGTCTGTTTTCTCTTTCCATCCTAACCAAAATTCTCACCAACATATGAAGACCAACAAAGGTAATGATCGGCACACTCACTCTAATATTGATGTTATAGGATAAATATATCCAGGAAACTGGAGAGAAATACATTGGAAAAAATAGAGCTCTAGGCTGTCTAATGTACATCATTTCATCTAAGCCACACACCTTTGCATTTCCACAATAAAAAGATTAAATCCAACAATTATTCCATGACTGATCTCTGGGGAAGGAACCATTGAATGTAAGTGATAACCAAAATGCAGATTCCAAAGGTAAGAATAAAAGTTACTTCATTAACTTTTCTAAATAACTTTTTTTTCAGATTATTATAGGCAATCTGGAAAATGCTGAAAGAATAAAGAGAAAAAAATTTCCCATAATCTCACCACAGACAGATATTCAATGGGTATTTTCTTCATCGTTACGTACATATTTGAATTCATATTGACTATATATTTTAAACATGTATTATACATATTTGCATCCTAAGTTTTTGCTTATATTGCAAGTATTTTTCTTGCCATTAAAAAAGTTCATAAACATTTTTATAAATGTCCAAATGGACGTTCCACCATTTATTTGGCCATCCTCTCATTATTGGATATATAAGTTATTCACAGTATTTTGCTATCATAATAATAGAGAAAAGACATCTTGTTGCAAAAATCTGCCTGTATTGTTTTATTTTTTTCTTTGGGAAGGTTTCTTTTAAGTGTAATTTCCTGGACTAAAGGTTAGAATCATTTTTTGAGGCTTTTGGTAGGTATTGCCAGATTGCCCTCCAGAAGGTGCTCAATGTGTACTTCCATCAGCAGGGTAAGAAGTTGCCTATTCCCCCGAGTCTTCTCCAGCACTGAGTGTGGTCTCTATGAGATTGAGCCTCTGGAAAGCCCAATAGCCCTTTACTAGAGAAAGCTCATTGTTTAACAGATCACTTTGGTGTGGGACAAATAGCAACTGAAACCTGAATTACTCAGGCCTCTGGCTGTGCTTCCCAGCAAAGGTGAGGGCACCTGAGACCAGCACCCAGAAAGTGCCTACCAGGGCAGTTAAGTGATACCCATGAGCAGCTAGATGACAGACAAACTACTGTCATCATGAAGACTGCTACCAATCAGGTTAGTTTGAAGTCTGACCCCATGTCACTCACCTCCTTTTCTGTCCTTCCCAGCTGTGTTGGCCAGAGATGGACACAAGGTAATCCTAGAGAAGATAGAAGACTGGAATGTGGTGGAACTCATGGTGAATGAAGAAGTCGTCTTCCAGTGCAACATTAAGGACTTGGAGTTCGGTAAGCCCTTTAGCGACATTTCCAGCCAGAATTTTGCCTCCTCTGAGGAGTCCCTCAATTTCCAGTTGAAATGATCAGTATGTCATGCCTGGATTCAAATTGGGTTTCTTTCTGAGGCTGAAACTTCTACTGAAAGCCCTGTGCTTTCAGTGGCACACACAGGAGAACATCCAAAACCACACAGTAAAGTGTGTGATGCTTTGAGTCTTCCCAAACATTGGAAACAGCAGAGGAAGGAAAATGAAGTGAAGCCCTGGACTTCAAGGGATGTGATGGAATTAAGGGATAACAGTTTTTTTTTGTACTTTAATAATATACATTCTATTATTATTTGCTTTTGAAGCTGCTTTTGTTTCACTTGTTTATTCTATCCTGACTTGCTAAGATAATTTGAGTTGATATGCCAGCAGTGCATGACACTATCAGCAACATTCACGTGATGTCTTTGTCCTGGAGAGCTTCTGGCCTGGCAGGCTGGCACCGTGCATGCCTCTCTGTGCTCAGAAGTTAAAGCTTTGCAATTCACTAATACTCTATTAACATTTTACCAGCCCGTGGCCTTTGAAAATGCACTCTGAGTGGAAGCCATAGGTATGTCTGATATGATAACAAATTGTATATAAACCTGACCAAAAGACAATTATATCTATTTCCCTAGGAGGCGATGGTAAACTAGACCCACTGTGTGAAAAGGCCAGGATAGCCGTGCTGAACTCCTACTGATCTCCTCATGGAACAGGCATCTCAAGTCGGCAGAACAGCAGCTGCCCCAGCCATTCTATGATACAGGGAGAAGTGGCTGTGCTGCAATGTGGACACTGGGCTCTACTAGTCAGAGCAGGGCAACTTGGGCCTGACCTCCAGCTTACACAGCCTCAGGAATCTCACCCGGCTGCACAGGAGCTCACAGAAATAATAAAAACCACATCATTTGTAACATCTCTCAATCCCAACCCATAGGGAGAGCCCTCCAATATCAGGTACACATTGAGCTGAAGGAAACAATAAAATGCAATCAAATAACAAGGTGCCATTCCTGACTAATAACACATAGTTGCCAGAAGCATCTGAGATTCCATTGTTTAGTACTCAAATTGCTCAGAACAGGTAAAATTAAAGAGAGGTTGGGGGAAGGGTGGGAATAAAGGCTTTTGAAAGTCTGAACCAAAAGCAAATGTTAATATTTGGAAACCTTGTTATTCCTACAGATTTATTTCGACTCCTGAGGGAATATTTTAAATTGCTGATATAAAATTAGCTGAAATCAAATCTTCAGTTACTCTCATCTAAAACAAGAAAATGACCTGCCTTCTTTTGCATTAAGATTGTCTAAGGAGGGCACGAAAGAGTCCTTGGCAGAATGTGAGATGGTTCCCTGGTCCCTCTGGAGTAGAACACCGCCCCACAGAGTTAAAGAGGGTTTTCGCTATGTTCAGTGTGAAAATCAGTCTTGTCAAAGTGATATTTTTACTTTCCAGTCTTACGCACCAATGTGTGGTATACATTCTTAACTATAGAGTAACGGAGAGGGGGAAATGCAGATACTGATCGAAAGACGTCAAATGGGAGGTCATGGTAAGAAGGCCTCACACCTATGAGAGAAAACCAGATTCCGTAACAGAAGACTCTGGACCCAGGGCACCTGTGCTGAAGGAGCAGGGCCTTCAGGATCGCTCAGAGAGCTGCAGCCTTGCCCCCTCTGAGAACAGTCCTAACCATTGCCCCAGGCAACCTCAAACCCTCCTGCACCCCAGAACTTCAGAGGCCACCGGGGACCATAAAACTGCTTTCACAAGTTCTTTCTCACACAGGACAAAGTAGGGGATATAATTTTTAAAACCCCAGCCCAAGCTTCACTTGTCAGCGTTAATTCAGGGATTGTGAATCACTTAGAACTCTATGGAAGAGTTCTAAGTTCTAAGAGTTCTATGCTTAAACTCTATATTTAAGCATCTCCTTACTGTGAAACTGGGGCTTAAAAAAGATTCTTCCTCCCAGTATCTGGTGCCGGTTTTCACATATCTTTTGTAACCCTAGATTTAGTCCCTTTTTGTCAAAGACCAGTTTAAGTTACTATAGATGTAGCATTCAATCTTTGTTTCAATATAACATTTTGCTACAAGAGAAATCCATTCTTGTTAAAGAAAAATGGAAAAATACAGGTAAAAATAAAGTACAACTTTAGTAACATTTTTATATATTTCAATTTGGGTTTCTTCTATTTATGTCTGAATATTCATAAAGAGATAGACATGTAGAAATCAACTTCATCCATTTGAGATTTGTGCACAATTTTGTAAGTTTTTAAAATTTTTTCAACTTTTAGATATAGGGGGTACATGGGCAGGTATGTTGAGTCTTTTCTTAAACGTAACATTTTACATAGAGCCTCTCCCCCACGTGATTTGTTGATTGTCTGAGCATTTTGTCTTGAATCAGGAAATCTCTCCCTTGAGCAGTGATTTCTACTTTCATGGCCAAAACTTTTTCAATGCTGAGAACTGAAATTGCTAGCTTCCCCTGTCTGCATTTGGAGTGGGAACTTCATCTCCAAAGGCTGTGGAATCCTGTCTCCTCTAGCCCTGCAACCCCAGCATTAAACTGGTACCAAGTGCTTCCCCTCAGCAGCCCCATGCCCTCCTCCAGCATCCCCCTCAACACCCCAGGTTGTATTTGTGCCTTCAGGGTAGCACCACAAGCGAAGAGGACCTGCCCTTTTTCGCTTCATGACCAGAGCTGAAGGGCAGGTAAGGCGAGTTAGTACACGGATTCTAAGAAAAACCGGAGAAGCTTCTGGGAGATACCTGTGCCCAGAGCCCTGTGTTTCAGTTCGGATTAGAGGCAAATGAGGCCTGAATCAGCATTGCTGGGAAAAATCACTGAGGTTTCCTCTGAGCTGTGGGATTGGGGAGTGTGGGGGACAGGTGAGGTAGAGGGAGGCGATTATAGGGTTATTCTTCCTTCTGTATTGTCAATGTTTTTAGTGGCGGAATTGATTTTTACTTCGTATGTAAGTGTGTGTTAGGGGTACTTTTCAAACAAAAACTTAAAATAAAATCAAGGCCGCACACTGTGGCTTTTGCCTATAATCCCAGCACTTTGGGAATCCAAGGTGGGTGGATTTGCTTGAACACAGGAGTTCGAGACCAGCCTGGCCAACATGGTGAAGCCTCATCTCTACAAAAAATACAAAAATTAGCCCGGCTTGGTGGCATGCGTCTGTAGTCCCAGCTACCCAAGGGGCTGAGGCAGGAGGATCACCTGAGCCCAGGAGCTAGAGGCTGCAGCGAGCCTAGATCACACCACTGCACTCTAGCCTGGGTGACAAAGTGAGACCGTGTCTCAGAAAATAAAGATTTTGACATAGAAGCCACCTGTCTATGTGGCCTTATCCTCCTCTGTCACTGATTAAGAAGAACTTTCTCTTTGGAAATGTCTGAAGAATGTACCGTCATCCTCCTCCTTCGCCTCCCTCTCTCTTGAGCACGCACCTCCCGTCCCAGAAGCAGGAGACACAGCTTGCTCCCTATCAAAGGCAAAAGTGCCCTGTGCTTCAACGTGCTAGACATTCGGGTGCCTTCATGCTTTTAAAATACCACTGATTAAATCACATTTTAAGTTTTGTAAGATGCCAAGTCAATGTCATTATTATTAAAATGTAAAGAAAGTATCTTCTAGAATAAAGTTAGAAGCATAGCTGTGTCTTAATTATTTGTTTTTGTTTTTGAGACAGAGTCTTGCTCTGTCACCGAGGCTGGAGTGCAGTGGCGTGACCATGGTTCACTGCAACCTCTGCCTCCTGGGTTCAAACGATCCTCCTGCCTCAGCCTCCTGAATAACTGGGGTTACAGGCACTTGCCACCAAGCCCAGCTAATTTTTATATTTTTAGTAGAGATAGGGTTTCTCCATGTTGGCCAGGCTGGTCTTCTGACCTCAAGTGATCCACCCACCTCGGCCTCCCAAAGTGCTGGGATTACAGGCATGAGCCACACCGAGCCTGACCCTAAACTGTCTTTAAATGAAATTTGGAATCTCTAAACTTTTTCCATTTACTTCTAAAATTTAAAAAGAACAGATTTTCAAGGGGCCTTCCTGGGTTCCTGCCTGGGGCCTTATTGGCTATATCTGCTCCCTTGGTAGGATTGCCCTTAAAATCTGACGATTGGCTGGAGGCTGTGGCTCACACCTGTAATCCCAGTGTTTTGGGAGGCCAAGATAGGACATTTGCTTGAGGCCAGGAGCTCCAGACCAGCCTGGGCAACATAGTGAGACCTCATCTCTACAAAAAGTAAAAAATTAGCTGAGCACAGTGGCATGCTCCTATAGTCCCAGTTACTTGGGAGGCTGAGGTGGGAGAATGGCTTGAACCCAAGAGTTCAGGACTTCAGTGAGCTACAATCACACCACTGCACTCCAGCCTGGGTGACAGTGCGACCCTGTCTCAAAACACAAACAAACGAAAAAACCTGATAATCCTTGCAAGAGGGCCATATATAAGGGAACTGTGTGAAAAATCAGCTCCCCAGGTAGGTTGCTGGGACGTCTCAGTGGTGTGGAGACGAAGGGAGGACTGGACACGTGTCCTGAACAAAATCACACTGGGATTTGTTACTCTGGTTCCCCGCTTCAGACATTCATCCCCAGCCCTGCAAGCATTACAGTTAGAGAAAGAGAACATCTCAACTGGTGACAACCGACAAACGCCCTAGGGGTGTAAGATTTCCACTAAAAACACAACAGTTGGCCAAATCCAGGTAAAAGACAAGAAAATGCTAGCCCAGGTCTCGGACATAAGGCATGGAGAACTATTCTTCCCAAACTGTCTGAACATTGAAAAGGCTGGTGGAAGGGAGCTTCCTATGAGACAGCGGTGTAATCAGGCGCTCTAGTGGCAGCTGTGAGTGGATGCGCCCACTCATAGGACGGGGTACTGCCCTTCTCCCCCGAGCAAATCAGAGCACACACACGAGGCCTCCAGAGTCAGGCAGCAGCAGACTGAGGGCGCCACACTGGTGTAAGACAACAACAGGGTGGACAGCATAGTGAGTGCCAGGGACGTGGGGGGCAGGCAGCTAGGCTAACAGCGGTGGCCGCAGCTCAGCTCTAGTGATGCTGCTGTGCAGGGTATCAATCTTCTGAATTGTTCCAGAAAAGCTGGAAATCTGGATTTTTATTAGAAACTTTTGGTTTTGAAATGTTGTTCAATTTTTCTTTTTAGCCAACAGTAAAATTTTACTGAAAGGCATTTTTAAAACAGCCCAATAATATGTCAAGATTTATCATTTTTTTTCTCTTGTTAACTTTGTATTTTGGTGGCTTGATCTTTTTTTTTTTTTTTTTTTTTTTTTTTTGACAAGGCCTTGCTCTATTGCCCAGGCTGGAGTGAGTAGCATAGTCACAGCTCACGGCAGTCTCAAACTCCTGGGCTCAAGCAATCCTCCTGCCTCAGCCTCCCAAAGTGCTGGGATTACAGGCACAAACCACCACACCCAGTATGGTGGCTCAATTAAAAAAAAAAAATAGTGCCAACTGAAAAAGCAGAATAACCACATTTGTGGCCCATTACTATGATGATCACCTGCTCCTGATCAAGGAGCATGGGACACCCCTTGCATGGGACACTCCAGTTTATACCTTTGGTCTGAAAGTCATTTTCCACATGAATTCCACCATCACCTTTCCCACAAGGCCCCTAGCTCTCCTGTCCACAGCTGTAGTGTGTGCAGACTACTCTTGTTTTAAGGAAACCACTTGACCCAACCATTTGGTTATGCAAATGAAAAAGCAAAGACTCTTTGCAGATCTATGAAATAAAGACACTTGAGAAGCTGAGACCTAAAAAGCCTGACTGTTCCTGTGATCAGGTACAAGGTGGCCCAGCTGTAGGCAGAGCTCATCCCCCAGATCAGGTTGCCTGAGGGGAAGAGCCTCCAGGAAGATGTGAGCCTACTTTGCCTGCATGGTCACAGGTCTTTGTGAGCGTTTGTGTCCCTGTTCTGTGGATGTTCTGTTTAGAGGAAGTCAAGAGCTGAGACCCAGCAGACTCAAGAATGGTGAGTTAGCCCCTCCTCACATGGGAGGAACCTGGCAGGTGAGGCTCAGTGCAGACTGCACCACTGATGTCTCCATAAGAAATACTGAACACCAAAGCTTCT